CCAGGTGACTTGAAGACCATCAGGTGGAGGAGAATTTAAAGCAGCTTTGTTTGGAGACAGAACTGGGAGATTGGTGTTTAATTCCTATAAAAAGTAAAACAAAGTGTCCTATACATAACATTTGGAGTTAAGGTAGGACTAAGTAGGATCTCAACCAATTGCTGTTTTAGTTGTAGCGGGAAAATAAAAGTTTATCAACATACAAGGTGACACATGAAGGTAAGCAGGGTAAGGTTACATTTGTAAGCAAGCTAAATGGCCCATCCAGCCAGAGTTAATCCTGGTTTCTGTAACATGAAGTGACTAGAAGTGTTAATACTCCCTCCTGGAAGGAATGCCAGCTTATCACAAGGTTACCCCCCACATTTCATCAGGCTTCCCTAATAATTTGCCTGTACCCATTTCTACTCCTAAGTGAAGAGAGGCACTGTGAGAGTGAATTGTTTTCTTCAAGAATGCAATACAATGACACTGCCAGGTCTTGAACTTGGATCATGCAAACCAGAATCCAGTGCATTAAACCTTTACTCCCTTTACATCAGTATGCATATCTCCATACTACTCTCTAGACATTTCCCAAGGTTCTAACAAGGAGAATTTGTTCAACAATTGAGAGCCACTTTAGTTGGTGATCATCTCCTTTATTCTCATTACCTTGATGTTTGATTTAGGGGTGATGTGCTAAGGAGAAATTAGATGTTAGTCACTCTCAGGGGTTAAAGGGTTAACCTTGAGGCCATAGCATCTCTACAGGTAAAGCACATAACAAGTAGTATAGTGACTGTGGTAGTCTAGTGATTGACATGTTGGAGTTGGGATCCAAAGGTCCCTGATGGACTGCCTGTCAGGTTGTTATGGTTGCATTCCTGGACAAGACACTTTACTTTTACACAATCTCTCTCCATCAATGGATGTAAAAGGGTGCACAGAAATTGTTTGGAAATGGGAAAAAATGCTGGGGGAGGTTACCTTTGATGGATCAGTTTCCCATCCTGAAAAGGCATTGATGCCTGTAGTTGCTTTACGTTAGTGATTTAGGATGAGCTTACCAAACTTGTCCTATTTGTCATCAACTGAAGGTTAATCCACCCCTTGCCCCATCTCCCCTCAGTTTTTTATCCCTGAGAATGTTATCCTTGACAATGTGCAAATACTCAATCATTCCAGGGGTGGTAAGTGACACTTTCAGAGCTAATTGTTTCCCCTGGAACATGATGCAAACAGTCAACCAGGTGGAGTGCCGCATCCTGCCCACTAAGAAATCATGTTATCATGTTACTAGTGTTTGTTTTTAAATTAATCATATAACAATCGTCACTGAAGAAAATATCGCTTTAATTCAAAGGAGCTGGACAGTTCACCTCATTGTCATAATTATAGAAACTTGAAACCATGAATCCTGGTAAACCACTTCTGTTTGTTGAAGTCATGAACCATTTCAGTGCTGTTAGTCCTGATGGATTTGTTCCTCCCCAAGGTATTTTAAAAATTCCATTTTCTCTTATAGCTTCAGGGTATTCTTCATTTCCTGCAACCTTGTCATCTTGTTTTTCTAGCTGTGAGCCCATAGTTTGAAGCTGTTCAAGAGGGAAATAAAGAGATTTAAAAATAAGAAGGGTAACATAAGCCAAGCCAAATCTATGATTTGTTGCATTAAGAAAGAATCACAATGAACTGAGAGTTTTCTTAAACAAAAGGATTTCTACCATTTTGCAACTAGTCAGGTAATGTTATTTTAACCCTTCAGGATAGGATACAGTTTTCATTAATCAATATGCATTAAATTCTTTATGCTGTACTCCAAACAATTACTAAGGAGCTGATAAGTGGAATTTGTTTTAACCATCAATAGATTCTTAAGTTGGTGATCATTTCCTTTATTCTCAAGACTTAAATGTTTCATTCAGTGGTGATACTGTTGGGAGAAGTTCAAAACTAGTCACTCTTAGGGGTTAAAGCATTAAGGAAGGTGGTGACTGGAGAATTGTAAGTGAAAAGTTGGAGAATATTCTCCACTTCTGGATGGAATAAAAAGCTCAGGACATGGAAATTCAGTATGTCAATTCTGCATAATAGCAGAATTCTCTAATCTGTGAAGCATTACGAACACCCTTGGGTGAAGGGATATTCAGTCACAAGTCTCCCTTTGGATTGTCAGGATTCCACAACAGTTTATCAGTACCCATCTATACTCTTGGATGAAGAAAGGCACTGTTGCAGTAAAGGATGTTTCCAAAGAAGACAAAAAAGTAACACTGCCAAAACTTGAATTTCAGCCATTACAAAGCAAGGTTTAAGGGTGGACCTGTGGTAACCAAGAGCCCATTAGTAACAGGCTCCTGCCCTGACTCATTTCTAAAGCACTGGCAGACAACACAGTTAACATGGGAATGTAAGACCCCTGCAAGGCACCATGGATGAGAGAAAAAATGACAGAGGATGACTCAGAAACCTTCAGGGAGTGGTCAACCCTCCTACTTCAGAGTGAACCAACATAGGCACCTGTTTTGACATAGAAGGAAACACATGTTCGGATAATAACGATTATTTCTAGAATACAACTGGTTTCAAATAAAAAACGGAAGAAATATGTGGCTTGAAACCGTAAAAGGTTATGTAAGTGTAAATTTACGTCATCAGAACTAGTTATAAGACCGAATATGAAATTAATTCATTTTCTATACACCAGCTTTGCTGAATACATTCACTCTCTTTGTAAAAACCTGTGAGAACAGCTCTACACGTAAAATTAAATGCAAAATTAGTTTCCACAGACAAGAGAAAGAAACCAGAGCGAAATAGATGAATCCCAATTTTTTAAAGTTTTTTTTGCACAGACGAAGACATGAAAACATATGAAAACAGAAAAATAATAAAATGTTACCTTTATCGATTGAGTTTTAGAAGCTTAACTTCCAAAGATTTACTAGATCAAGCCCAGTGTAAATGAAACTCGACGAAAAGTCGAGATATGCGTAAATCCTGCTTCGTTCAACACTTCCGCTTTCAATTGTGCCGGTGTCACAGTGATATACCTGTCACAGTGATATGTGTACCCCCGTGATATGTGTACCCCCGCACACATATCACTAGTGATATGTGTACCCCCTCCAAGATGGCGGCCAGTGATATGTGTATCCCCCACCCCCTCCCCTCCAAAAAATAAATAATTACGGCTAACTTGTGTTAATGGACGCAAATCGTTCACTGAACCATCTTCCACAATCAGAACTGTAAAGACACGACTCGCGAGTCCGACAGTTCTTATGGGCCAGTAGCAAACATCAAACAATCTATTGGAAATATAAAGGAATCGAAATTGTCATTTAAACAAAAATATATCTTAGGGATTCACATATCACTGGTGACTACAATCGTATCGGCTTTGTCGCCTGTCTAGCACTGAAATTACTTGCTACTAGCTCCTTTACTGGCTAGTACGTAAGTGCATGAAATATTTCACCAACTGACAGCAATTTTTATTGATTCCCAATCATATGTGTCATTGACAAATTTAAAAAGTACACAGACGACATCGTACTAGCCAGGGGATACGTATATCACTGAGATCTCTCGTTCAGTGATATGTGTATCCTCAACATATCTCGGGGTTACGCATATCGCGGAAATCGTAGTAAGTGATATGTGTATCCCTTGGTAAAGCAAGCGCTGTTGTCTTTCTAGCAAATTACTAGCTAAGCTTATATATGGCTAGTAAGTGTATTATTGATTCCAAATTGACAGACGACAGCGAGTTAGTCAGGGGATACACATATCACTGCGATCGCCGTTCAGTGATATGTGTATCCCCAATACATCTTGGGGATACAATGTGGATACGCATATCGCGGGCAATAGCAGTCAATATGTGTATCCCTTGGTAAAGCAAGCGCTTTTGTCTGTCCAGCAAATTACTACCTAAGCTTATATATGGCTAGTAAGTGTATTATTGATTCCAAATTGACAGACGACAGCGAGTTAGTCAGGGGATACACATATCACTGCGATCGCCGTTCAGTGATATGTGTATCCCCAATACATCTTGGGGATACAATGTGGATACGCATATCGCGGCAATCGCAGTCAATATGTGTATCCCTTGGTAAAGCAAGCGCTTTTGTCTGTCCAGCAAATTACTAGCTAAGCTTATATATGTCTATGGGGCACATGTTTTCTTTGAAGCTCTAAAAGGCCCGGGTGCAAAGCTTCAGTGTTTTGTGTATCCCTACCAGGGGTACACATATCACTAGTGATATGTGTGCGGGGGTACACATATCACGGGGGTACACATATCACTGTGACACCTGTCATATCACGGGGGTACACATATCACTGTGACACCGGGTACAGTTAATATGTAGCCGCTGAAACGTCACGCCTCAGCAGTGAAGGAACGCCTCAACATGAAGGATGTTTTTCTAGAATGCTTTGCGCGCCTAGTAATCGACGATGTGTGTTTTCGAACCCTCCCACGCGCTTCCCGCCAATGATTTGTTGTTTTTGGTGCAGGAATATCCTGATGTAGAAAAATTCCAATATTTTTACTGATGTTCCGGTCGAAATGTGAGATATTTCGACCGTGAGTCGCTCTGAGGATCAAGCAAACGAATTCATCCATAGTATGTTTTAGGCTCCTCACCCATGAAAATGTTTAGATTAGTTGTTAATTTGAATATTTTTGGTAACTTCCATCAACTTTCGTGTCACATTCTGTATCATCCTGACTTTCTTGAGGTCAGCTAATGAGCTTCCTAACACGTAAGGTAGATCTTGCAGATATCGAGGTTCTATGTAAATTTTGTAATATTTTCTTAGTTGGCAGAGAACAGTACCAATTTATTATAAATGAAATCCTACACATATCTAAACCGTTTACTCCCATAAGTGACAAAGCTATTTATTGGATAACACAGATTCATCTCCAACAAATGAAATAAAATCTTTATTCTTCATAGTGCATTTTTCATATAAATTTACATAATTTTTTTCTTGGACCTTAATTAAGATGCCAAAATAATAATGATAAAAATTACAGTTAAGCAATATGTTTATTTTGTTGTAGTTTAAAAGCCTTAGGACATTGGGTCAAAGTAATTTAAAATTAGCTAGTTTTGTATTTCCTTTGTTTACAATATGGCCATGGTACTTTAACTGGAACAAAGTTAAATTAACTTCTCTTTTTTTTTTTTTTTGGAGCCAGTTGTTGTAAATTGTTGTTATTTTATATGTGATGGAAAATAAAAATAAATTCAATGAACTAAAAAAATCTGGAACAAAGGAAAAGGCAGAGTTAACTTATTTAAAATTATTATGACCCCAAAATTCATCATGAATATCAAAATTTATTCTGTAAGCAATTTTGTTTAGACTGGGTCTTTACTGAAGATTTCAATCCTCCAGTTTTAAGCAGAAATTTCCCAGTACCCTTTTCAATTGTGGTTGTCATTTTTTCATTTTATGACTCTGGTTTCTCCATGTTTCATGGTAAAGAAGCTGTCTTCTGGTATTTCTTTTTCCTTGAGTGCTTCACTAAGATCTTTAGGTGGATCCATATAATGCTACAAAGTAAGTAAAAGAAAATGGAATAAAAAATTAATCTGTAATTAACCAAAAATGGTTCTTATAACATCTACTGTAACTGTGTCTGTTGTGGTGACTTATTGATCTCCATTTTCTGAAGCGAAAACAAGACTTAGTGCCGCTGTTTAATTTGACAATGGCTGCAAGAAAGATTTTCTCAGATAGCTACTTAGAAGCACAACAGAATTTGAAAACATTATTTCTAAGAAGTGACACACACTTGAACACAAAAAGGGAATATCTGCAAAAATTGCAGAAATTCTTAACAGTGGAATTATCAAATTGGCACAAACTCCTCTGTTGCACTCAGTAAATTTATTTCAGAAATTATTCCCTACTTTTTATTAGCCTTTGAACTCCAGAGTGATGATTATGAAGTAAATTCTCCTTAAAAAATCAGTACATTTTATGCAAAAGGATTGTGAGAAAACAAAAACCAATAAAAGTTGGAGGAAGTTAGCTTAATAGAGTACAGGTGCTGGGAAAGACTGGAAACTTTCCAATTCTGACAAACGACAACTTTAACATAAGTAGCACTTCCAATGTCTATAACTAATAAAGCAAAACAGCTCTCTAGTTAAACTGTTGATGTGTGAATGTCAAATAACTTACACATTTAACCTTTTAAGGGTAGGGAGAGATCAAACGCTTAATGGCCTCTTTACAATTCTTCCCAGACAAGTACAACTCAGGCATTAAAAATGGGAAAGAATGTATTGGACTCAGAAGAGAGAATTTCAACTGAGATCCTAGAAGATAGAAGAATTAAAATGATGTATCAATACCTCTTTTCCGGTGGGAAATGTTCCCCAATGAATTCCTAAGGAACAGTGAGATTGAACATCTTCATGAATACAAACAGCTTCTTTTGGATCAACATGTGCAAATTGTGCAAACCATCTGCAAAAAAGTTAAAATTATGAAAAATATGAAGAAATTAGCACCACAACAGACATTCAATTGAAAGTTGTAAACTACAGCAATAAGAAAATGACTGGAAAATGAGATTTGAACAAAGTTTGGGATCCCAAATGGGATTTACACCCCCTCCCATTCCCCTTCAGAACCCAGTCTTCTTAATGTACTCCTTTTTAGAGAGAGGCAATGTGAACAGAGCTATGTCTTTCCCATTAGAGTACAAATAGACTTTCCCAACCTTGGCTTGTAGGCACCAATTGGTATTGCTGCAAAATCAAATGGTCCAAAGCGTTTTCCAATCTGCTTGAATCCTTTGCAGTAACCAGTATCACCAGCAAAGAAGAATCTGTGCTTAGGCCCTAGGATAGTCCAACTTCCCCACAACACCTGGTTTTTATCTGTGGCTGAGCGACGACACCAATGTTGCGTTGGTGTGAAGACAAACTTAACAGTGCTGTGGCTTTGAATTTCTGCATCAGTTTTCTTTGAAAGCTCTGCCTCTTCCCACCATTCAAGTTCTACAGCATTTTTACAGCCGCTGCTTGCCATCCATGATTTTAGCCCATTAGGAACATACCACTTAAGCTGATCTCCAAACCTCTGATGAAGTTCTTTGACAGTTTTTACATCAAGATGGTCGTAGTGGTCATGACTGATGCATACTGCGTCGATTCTAGGTAGTTCATTTACAGTACAGGGAGCAGGTCTATAGCGTGTCATGCTGAATAATTGTGTGGGTCCACAGTAGCTGTTGAGAATGGGGTCAGCTAAAATATTAAAACCATCCATTTGAACAAGAACACTGGCATGCCCAAGCCACGTCACTTGAATATTATCTGAAGGAGGTGATGATAAAACTGTACTGTCGAGGGTCAGGACAGGAAGGTTTTGCTCCAGCTCCTGTTTGAAAAATGTTAAAATGAAACAAAAAGAAATCAGTAATAACAATAACAATGACAAAAATGATACTAATGATAATGATAATAAAAAAATTTCAATAGTTTGACTAGAGGAGATTTCTGTATTAATTAAACCCTTATGTACTCTATTCCAATTCAAAGTAGTCCTCAACCCTTTAACTCCCAGAGGTGATTCACATGTAACTTCTCCCTACAATATCCATACATTGTCCAGCAAAAATGTAATGAGAATACTCGAACTTATCAGGTAGAGGTTGTTATCTTGATGTAACAACAAATTCTTGCATTACAGAATCGCGCCCATTGAAAAACGTCGCACGGGAAAATACAAATAAGCTAGAAAAGAGAAAGAGAGCATGCGTAACTTCACGCAGGCCTGTCAATCCGACTGTCAATCATGTAATCCCCCATGTACGCAGTGTTCGAAAGTATTGTTTCTTGTGCAGACAACCGAAACGTAGCGCTTTTCATGAAGCAGCTAGAGGGGAGAATTGACAATCAGATCTTTGGTCAGTTAAAGGGTTAAAGCACTCAATGGTTTTCTTTAATCCAGTTACTGTGTGTATGATGAAGTATGGGTTAATATTCGGAAATCTTGGCGACAAGGGATATGATCAGTTATTGAGATGAATACACTTAGTGACTCATTACGTAATTTCAATTAGTATTAAATATTACAACAACAATTTCATCCACCTTCTACTAAACAAGTTTATGTTTTTAACATGTTTGTCACGATGAAAGTTTATTACTTAGAACAACGATAGATGGATGAGCATTACTATTTTTAGAAAATACCTCAGTGTTGAAACGAAACAGTTCCTTCCAGTTTCCACGAACTCCTCGTTCATTTTTCTCAGTCATCTTCCACCTAAGAACCTCAAACAATGATGGCATATGAGCGGTACCCCAAGGATCAACATAACGACCATTTACTTGTACTGCTCTTTGCAAGGTTTCTGATTCTTTTTCCTGTTCGACTTTGTCATCAAAAAACTGATCGACACTGCTCTTCCCCATCGCCATGTTTACTTCGAATGACCGCGCGAGAACTGAAGCCGAACTGTCTGCGGTTCGGATATTATGGGCATCTGTCACCACCAAAAATTCGAGGATGTCAAATAGATCAGCAAATACAAAGCTGGTATAAAGATCAGCTGCAGGATTGAATAACTAATAAAGGAATGGCATGGCCAAATTATAGACGGTTTAGTTTTCCTTCGTGAAACAGAACACCCTAAACATGGATAGCTTAGCCAAATGATAAACGGTCTAGTTGCCCATGTCGAGTTGGAAAATGAAATTGTGAAATGGACTAGCTCAATTGCGAATAGCTTGGCACTCATTTGCAATAAAGTACACAAACGATGTTACGTTGCGTCAAATGGCTCGGGGCAACGTCGAGTAACACAGCGTACGCACAAACGGTAAAGCGTTGCGTCAATTAGCTCAGCCTAATGTAGAATGGTACAGCGTACACACATATGGTGTAGCGTTGCGTGAAATGGCTCAGCGTAATGTCGAATGGTACAGCGTACATACAAACAGTGTAGCGTTGCGTGAAATGGCTCAGCGTAATGTCGAATGGTACAGCGTACACACAAATGTTGTAGAGTTGCATGAAATGGCTCAGCGTAATGTAGAATGGTACATTCTGATCTATTTGACATCCTTGTGTTTTTGGTGGTGACGGCCGCCCATAGGATATTAGTTCGGCTAAGCTTCGTCTAAGATCGGCTTTTTCCGGGATATTCTTCGGACTTCGAGTCACGTGCGTGTCTGGTCTAGGCAGGCGCGGTATCTGCAGAGACGTGAAGGGGGGAATCTAATACGGTTAATCCTTTGTAATTATTGCAAAACACTTTCGAAATCAGCTTTATAGTAAACACTGATATTTTCCACAAGATGCCGACTAAGCTTTTTATGTTATGCTCCTTAATCTTTAGCACATGCCAAGGACTGCGGTTCAATGTTTCTCGAGTCACCAAAGTATCGAATTCGGGGTCGATAGACCTTTTTACGAATCTTGACCCTTCTGCAAAATGCCCCAACGAGAAACCAAATCTTGACGCCGGAAAACCTTGGTGCACGGAAAGGAAAGCCTATTGTAGTTCTCAAGGCTGTTGTGTCTGTGAATGCCAGTACTCTGATGCAACCTTTCAGTTGAAAATGAATCCATACAACGCAAGTTGTGTTGGAAACAAGGACATTCGTACTTTTGCAGGTAGGCTCAAGATTATCAATATTGATATTTTACATTTCGCAATTAATATTTCCTAAATCTCGACCTGCTAAAATGATGTGTATGCAGAGGAGACGTCAAATATACCTCAATTATTTCTTTTGACAGAATATTCTTGAATTGAAATTAGCCGATGATCCACTGATTAAGAAATTTTTATTCATTCCTAAATCCAAGACAATTTAGGGCCTTGCTCCGAGATTGAGTATCACAAGTACTTTCGAATTAATCCAGGTGATCGAAATAATACTATTCTGCAAAAGTTATGATAGTATCGCTTTATCTACCAACGGGATCCATGATTAAATCCTATGACGAGAAGGTTTCATTCATTATTATGGAGTTGTAATAGAGTGACGTTACGTAATCAGAGTCAGTGGGGTCTAATCCAAACTTGACCGTTTTGAGATAATGGGTCGAAACATTGCCAAAAAAAGAATCCAGCCTGGGTCATCCATGTAGCACGATCGACTTAAATTATCTATTGTGACTCTAACTTGTGACTGTTGAGAGAGAGATGCGGTTAGCAATGGGCGACTTGTTTGTTGCGAATTGTGATAGATAGTCTATAATTGTGAGTAATGCAGAACAGCCCCTCGCCCAGTCCCTCCGTCCTCTTAAAGCCGTGACAAAGTTAGGCGCACTAGTAATCATAATCATTTTTTTTCTTTAAAAAGGCTGTTCAAAGTTGTTTGAATTAGAAGTATTGGCCCATCCTTTGACAGCTCTGGATCCTTCAACTTCAGGCTTTAAGGGAATTCTAAACCTACCAAACAAATGCAAAGTGAAATCTGTGGAATATTTAGACATGACGTGGAAATCGTTAGCCAAGAAAGACGCTGATACATTTAGTATAAGCAGCATTGGAAACTGGCCATATACAGCATTATTGGTAGGTACCCTTGACCAAGACTAAAGTAAGGATTTTTTCCTTCTTGTACTTATTTCCACCAACAGATTACAGAGCAGTACAGTACAGTAAAATAAATGCAATACAGTACAAAGCATAAAATCACTGTCCAAAAAAAAAAAAAAAAAAAAAAAGTCACAGTTGACTTGTGACTGTACTTGCAATAAAATGCTGACTTAAATCATGGAATAAAATTAAAAATTACTTCCAGTATGGGGAATGCACTGCTTGGAAATTACTTAGATTTAATATGCAAGAGATATTAGTGATCAAATACAATACTGGCTGCAACACTTATGCTACCTTAACACTACTTTGGGTGCAAGAAAGGGGAACAAAGTCCCTGCACAAGGCATGAGAATAAAGCTGAAAAAAGGTCATTTTGAGTTGCTGAAGAAAAGAATGATATATGGTTGAAAGGTTTGTTAAATATTCCATGATTAAGAGTTGAGATGACTGTTTGAATTGAAAAGTTTTGCAAATTTCCTAACTTTATCCTTTTACACTCAAACATCAGTACACATATTCTCCATACTGTTCTCTTTACATTTCCCTAGGCACTGATAAGGAGAATTTGCTTAACAATCAATAGCTTATTTTATTTAGTGATCATTTCCTCAATTTCTGTACTTAAATGGATGATTTGTGGTTGTTATTGTAAGGAGAAAATAGTTGCTAGTCACTCTAAGGGATTAGAAGGTTAAGATTTGATTGTTATCCCTTTAACTCCCAGAAGTGATTAACATGAAACTTCTCCCCATAATATTCATACATTATCCAGCAAACAGGTAATGAGAATATTCAAACATGTAAGGTAGAAGTTTTTATCCCAATATGACACCAAATTCTCATAACTAATTTACAAGGAAATGTGTTAGAGCTAGAGGGGAGATTTGACAATCAGATCTGAGGAGTTAAAAGGTTATGAGAGTTGGATTTAGCAGCCATTTTACTCTCACTACCTTTTGGGGGGCAATGTTTTATGACTTGTCTGAAGTCAAAATGAGATGAACATTTTTAGGAAATATTTCTCAAGATCCATTCTGTTTTTTTTAAGTAAAAGTTACCTCCATTTCCTCAGTTACTTTAGTATAAAGCCCTGAGATGTGGCATAAATCTCCAAACACAAATTCCAGCTTCACTTTTTACTCCAAAGTCAAGCAAAGTTGTCATTGCAGGGCGTGAAATTGCACCTAATACAGGCGCCAATGCGACTAAATTTTTCACCTTGGCGACTAAATCCTGAAAATTAGTTGCCAAATTGGCGACTAGAATGTTTTATCATAACCTTTCCAAGAGATATAGTGAATTAAACTTCGTCGTTAAGTTTGTTTCCAAAACGCAGCACATGCATCCCTATCGATAACTAGACGCCATCTTGGATTTAGTTGAGCTTAAACGTTGTATATCAACCATCCTAGTGTCCACTTCGTAGCTCCTTTCCCTAACTTAATTTTTGAGGGTCAATCTAGAACGCTGACAGCCTAAAAAAAAGGTTTTGTTTGTCTTTGAAAATGGCGACCAACTTTTTTTGAATTGGCTACCACTTTGAAGAATTTAGGATCCAAGTGGCTATCAGAAAAAAAAATTAATTTCACGCCCTGCAGTGGTTTTGCACATCAACTAATATTGTACAAGGTTTCTTTTTCTTGTTACCAAAATGTTATCTCTGTTGATCATTTTATGAACAAAGGCTGCCAAATATGATTACAGCTACTTAGAAAAAAGTTGAGCCTGGAGCTCTGCCATTATAGTTTTATTGATTGTGTTATTTACTATTTTTATCTCAATTTTTTTTTAACCTTAACTGGGGATCACATTATTCCATGTATATTTATCTATAATTTTATTAAAATTATGAATCAGCAACTCAGGAAAGAATTTATACATTTGAGTTGCAGTTCAGTGAGCTCTTAAACTTTTTGTTTATCACAGTGGGATGGACGTCTGAACTCTGCATATTTTGGTTACATCATGAGAGTGAATGTAGAGTGTGGGAAAGGAAAAAATACACAGAGATACTGTGTTCTTTTCAAAACAAGAGGAATATTATCAGGTATGTACCCATGTTTCCACATAGGATTAAGTTTTATAAGCCAAGAGGACCTGATCCTACTGCTGCAGTGTATCTGGGTATCAATAGCATAGAGAAAGTAAGAGTATTGTTAGCTTGCACTCTTTGGTAAGTGTGGTGCTTTTGAACTCTACTCTTTTGTGTCTTTGTTACATGCAGTGACCATTCCAGACCCCTCAACTCAAAAACCACCAGTTACCAAAGCACAGTCTACAACAGTAAAGCATCCAACTAAAATAATCACCAAGAAGGCTGCAACAACAACAACAACAGCAGCAATGACAGCAGCAACCACAACAGCAGCAACCACAACAGCAGCAACCACAACAGCAGCAACCACAACAGCAGCAACCACAACAGCAGCAACCACAACGGCAGCAACAACGACAGCAGCAACAATGACAGCAGTAACAATGACAGCAGCAACAACGACAGCAGCAGGAACAACAGTGACAACAACAACAAAAGCAAAAACAATAGCAACAACAAAAGCTACGGCAAGAAAGTCAACACACATGGCTTCGGCTGTAACAGTCAAATCAACCACAAATCATGTGAACCTCATGACAAAAAAGACAAGTACATCTGCAAATGCGAAAACCTCTCCAACTAAGGTATGTGAAAAGAGTACTTACTTCTGCTGTCCTACAAGAGCCTCTTTGTGGTTGTGCTGCTGCCAGACCAATTTGGCTTAATTTAGAGATTCATTTGACAGCAGCTCCTTTATCATTCACAGAGAAGCAATTTCTTATTATTGTGCCCTTGAGCAGATGCATTAAAAATTTGTTTTAATGTTTTTGTGGTCAGATATGGAAATTAGCCATGCTTTTGCTTCTCACTGAAGGTAGGCTCTATTCGCTGTGGTTAATACTTGAATGGGTGAGCAAGAGAGATCCTGTTTTGTTAACTTTTTTTTTCCTTGTCTTTATTTTTCAATTGCATTCCTTTACTTTAAAGAGTCAGCTTTATAGCTATATTATTTTCCACATAAAACCAGAGTGACTGAAGATAACGACCAATGCATCCACAAAAATGCCTCCAGGTGTTTTGTTTAACATAAAATACTCTGAATACATTTACAGGTCCCTACGTCTAAGGCAAAAACAACAGAAAGTACAAAAAGCACCATAATCACGGCAGAGAATACTTCCACTACTGAAAGTCAAGTTATCACAGATCACCCTTTCGAAACATTGCCAACAGAATCAACTGCAGGAGATTTTGCAACTCTGGAGCCAACTCACCACAGCTCAGGAAATAAAGAGCCAGAAAACAATGAAAATAAGTTTAGTGCTCAAAAACAAGACAAGCTAGAGGACATGACGATTTTTATAGTGATAGGCGTCGCCGCTGTGATCTGCATTTCTGTTGGGTTGCTGTGCACTTGGCTCATTATCAGTCAGCGGAGAAAGCACAGGTAACTGTCAATAGTTGGCAGTGGCTTTGATTGTGTTTTGTATTAGACACTTT